TTAGTTAGTTAGTTAGTTAGTTAGTTAGTTAGTAGTAGTTAGTTAGTTAGTTAGTGTATCACGGGCATATTCAATAATAAATATAAAGTTATTGCATACAATTTCTACCTTTCCCTTTTTAAGCCCTATTTCTAGATCGTCTTAAAATCTAATAAGGACCCATAGCTATTATGTACTATTTCGATGTGCTAAAATTTGCATTGATGTTGGTTATATTTTATTATTTAGGAATTGATAAATAGATTAAAAATTATTGATTCATATGTATATGCAACCCAGTGCACTGAAGGGTTAACTAATTCTAGAGCATTTACTACAACACTGTATTCTGTATGTATTACTTTGAATCAGTACTTACCAAATTTTTTGCTCAATTTAATGCTTTTTATATGAATCTGCAATTTCTTTAGCAAAAACATAAATTGTAAATAATTGATATTGTGAAGAAATATTAAGATGAGATCATCACACTTAAAACTTTGGAAAAAAAATCTACATTATTTTAATTAGTGATCATAGAAGAATTGAAATGTATCGAATTAGAAAAAATGTGTGAAAAAGATTTTTTGCTAGCATCATAAAACTGATTATTAAATTTATTGCAAAATTTTGGTATAAGAAATTTGAGTGCAATTTTTGAAAAAGTCATGCCAAAGAGTCGAATATAAAAAAATATAGGAAAAGGCAAAGAAAGTTGTGTATTTTTAGTACAAAGGGCTTTGCAATGGGAAATCGAGACAATACTGAGTAGGAATCCATATAAAACCAATATTTCGGAAAATATCTAACATTTGACTTTATTTACTTTTAAATGAGCCATTAACTGTTAAAGAATTATTTATTTTAAATAAACATTTATTATAAACACATTTGACCTCTAAATTTATTTAACAGTAAAAATCACACAAAAATTTAATTCCAAGAATTAAAATAAATATTGAATAAAAATTGATTTTTAAATGAATAATAAAATTAGTATGACAAAATTCTTGTGGATTTTCCACTCAAAGTAATATTTGTCAATAAATTCAAGTTTAAATTAATTTAAAGTTAAGTAGTATCAATTTTAATTCGTATAGTATTTATTGCAAACTTTATAATGAGTTGAAACTATAACAGGTTTATAAGAACCATGACTAGTTTTGTCGATCGTTAATTTCCATTTTCTTTATTACTTTATTTAAAATTTTCTTACATTTTAACACATTTTACCACTAACTCTGAATACCCCTACTATACATATG